AACTAAAACCCATATTAGCACAAATATAGCATTTATAATGTCCCATAATATGTGATTAGAAGCAAATCGTATCATTTCCCTCATCTATAAAAAGCATTAAATTGATTATATCATTTTTCTAATTAAAAACTATGATTTCGTACTAGTTATCTATTTATTAATATGTATTTATTATCAAAATATAGAAAATAAAACATTTATTAACCAGTTAGCTGTGACTAAACTTGATGCAACCTTGAAAAATATACTCGATATGTGGATAAAATATCTAACATTCGTAATTTTAATTGCAGTTTTGGTGAGGACTAAAAATACATTCGCAAGTTTTCAGATATTTTAAGATATTTAAAGATTAAGATGAAAGAAAAGTAAATAAGAAGCCGAGAAGTATTCACACGCGATTTTAGTAAAACTATATTTATTTTATATGTTGCCAGCTTTATTAATTATTAACTTAATCAATGAAAATAAACATTATAAATTGCAAAGGTAGTGTTTAGGATTTCTTTGAGGTATATTGATAATGATGAGAATACTATGAAAAAATTGGAAATTTTTTCGATAAATCTCCTGAAGCTCCTTACAGAATTGGGGATATTTTTACAAGGCTGTTTAAAAGTTATAACATTTTTAGTTACAAAAAATTTACACGTACTTAAATGGAATACGTGTTATCATATCGAGTTATGTAAAAAAATAATAATGAAAAGATGATTCGARAACTACGTGAAATTGTGAACTAGTAGATTATATATCTAGAAAACATAAAGCAATTAACATTGTGTATTTTCCATATTAAATACAGAGAGAGGCAATAAAAATGAGTGATATTTATGATATTATTGAATGCAAAGAGTAATTCACGGAGAAAACGTTATAAACTCACAAACTGCTACGCGGGAATAAAAATTCAACACAACTACTGTAGTTTTATAAATAAAAAGTYATGTTTGTGCGTYATGCGCACACGTATACTYTTTAGTTCTAGATTATTATATTACAACATCYAATTATTAAAATGTCGCAGTGTTGTGGCGTTTCAATGAATAAAAATCATGCTTATTTTATTTAATTAATGTAAATAAATAGAAATTAATAATTTTCTGAGGTGCAAATCTGTCTTCTTATTTTTTTGAAGTATGCAGAGATAATTTGTCTCATGTAAGTGTCATTATCGTATCTTGTTTTACTTAATACCATTCAATAACAGCAGATTAAATTTTTAACTAATCATTTTTTTAGGTAGTAGATTTTTTTTTTATATGCAAACTATATGTTTAAATTAAATAAGTCAATGATTTTAAAATATAAAATTTGTAGTAATATAAAAAAAATAAATAGTCATTATATAGCAATTTAAGTCGATATTATTTTATCGTAATCGTAATGTTTTAGCGGAAAAATTCAGATACACATTTTCCAAAAAGATTGCCACAGCGAACTAGCAAATTTTTACTTTAAATGTTGTTTAAATAAATATAAGCTATTTTTAAGAAAAATAATTATAGCACAAATGTCAATTTAATGTATTACTATCTCAACCTACCACCTATGTATATRTATATTCTTCATTATTCATATATTTATAATTTAATATAGAAAAAAAAATTTTTCCTAAACATAATTAATTAGAAGAAATAAGAAATTTAATGAATATATTAAATTAGACTTACTTCTACRMAGATATCAGCACAGCCYATTCCRAKTRTGATTAATATGCCAAGTTTGAMAAAATTTACATACCATGATAAATGTAAATAAWAAAGGARCASWAKATCATGGAAATAAAAWYGCATAAAATTTTTTGTTGAAYGATTTARGRTGATCCTRCCCCAGTAATATGCGATAGTTAACATATAATACCACCACATTTCATTAGTTACTACGTTAAAAGGGTAATCATAGTAGCATTGTTTTATATCCCATAACCATGGCTTATTCCAGAAAGTAAAAAGGCCATATGTGAATGAGAATATTGTGAAAATGAGTCTCCAACTAAAATTTAAATTAAAAAATAAATATTGTAAAAATAAAAATTTTTAAGGAGACCTAACGATTAATAATTTGTCTGAATTTTGAAATGGAAGGAGAGAAAAGAAGTAACAGATTTTATAATTTTCTGCAGGAATAGTTTTAACTATGGATAGAATAGCAAACTGGAGAACTTTTAAATATGATTAATGAAATATAAGTGTGGATCATGAAAGATATTTCACTCTTTTAATATATTTTACCTGCAATAACTGAAATATGTTAAATCAAGATGTTTATCTTTAGCAAGCCGAAGTTTAAACCACTCTATTATTCTTTTTTTAGGGCATTTTAGCTCTCTAGGCAATATTACTATCTTAAAAGAAAAATTATTAAATGATACAGATATATTATTTCATTGAATAATATTTTATTCCAATAAGAAAAATCTACCATTTTATCATGTATAATTATTCTTCTAGCATAATCGTTTTCTAGTATGTCATTTTGTGGGATCCTTATTTCTTCTTCTTCTATACCAAAATATTTACCCACAGGTTTAAAGATGAAACTGTATAACAATTAAATAAAATGTGTGAAAAATTTAGTAAACCGGACCAAGACTCAAAGAAGAATCATGTTCTATTTATTAAGGGATTGGTCTAATTATTCTGCTATCTAAGACCCTACAGTCAAATTTCTCATGACTACTTATTTTATTCGAAATACTGGTACTCTTTCCCACATTAAATTAAAAGTATCAGTATTAAATTTTAAACAGGAAAACAAAAATCTTATATTAATACGAACCAGTAGATAATGTTTTTATATGAAAAAGTCGAACGAAAATTTCGTTTAAAATATTTTCATTTGAAACTTCGTTCAAGAGTAAATCAAATTTAAATAACAATTGAAAAACAATTAAAAAAAAGAACAAAAAAAGTTTGTATTAATCAACATTGACCTGATACCACACTTTATGAGAATCTAATAAAATTAATAAAATAAATTAATATCACTTTAACTTTCATGATGACCAAATGAATAAAAATAGAAACAAATTTTATACGAAACTTCATTTCGTAGACGTTTAATATCGAATTACTTTCCAATCAAAATTAATAAATAAATAAAAAGATAATTCTGTTAAATATGAAAATTCTTACGTTTTACAAGCATCTCTGATGAAGAGCATAATCATTCCCAAAACAAAAGGAAAAAATAWTTCCAGTAATTTAGKKTGTTTYKTTTCCAAGTAATTTTCAACAAATTCATCTTYWGGCATTTTGTTAGTTCGTCTCAGAAAATCGTTGCCTTTTATCTTCTACGTTTTAAAGTAACAATCGAAATGATTTTGTGTGCCTCTTGTTTCTTGGTTTCTCAATGTACTTTCAATATGTTCAGTGTTTATCTTTTTTCAATAAGTCGTTAAATCATGTTTATTATTTACGATTTTGAAATAGAATAATACGAAACGTTTGACTTCCCCCTCCCTAAATTAGCTAAAATATTTTATTAAGATGTTTATAAATAAAATTCTATATTCACAAAATTTTTTTTTTTTATGTACTCACTGAACGAATTGATTTATTTTCGTTTTCGATATTTTATTTATCGACAAATAATTAAATTAACTGTCACAATTTCTTTTTCAATTAATGTCAATAATGTAAATCACGTCAAACATTAAGCTCTTACGTTTATTCTCACTTTACAGTTTCTTGTTATTAAATATTACAGAAATATACGAACAATTCTTGATGAGATTTACAAGTAATTTTTGTTGAGATGAAACTTACATGGACATCCTATTTTACACTTACTTTCTTCTTTTTTTTCTCCCTTTTGTACTGTATGTTTTATTTAATTTTTTTTTTTTAAGAATGAGAAATACAAAAATAAAATTTAAATAAAAGGAAAAAAAAACTGGTATATATAAAACCATGCATATTAAAAAAACTTTTTACAAAAGGTAAAAAGCGATACTTATAAATAATGTTTATTGAACAATTCTTATAAAATACAATTTTTTATAAATAATATTTTTCAGATGTCTCTATTTGCTCGCATTGGAGATTTTATAGAATGCTCACGACTTCTGTATAAACGCAAATTCCTCCAACACATAATGCTCTTGTAATTGGAAAAGCTTGTATTTATAAAATTTGGATTAATTAAATAGAATAAATGATGTGGTTGAAGAGCTAGTAAAAATAAGAAAACATTAATTGCTCCTAAGTTAACAGCCTGTCAGCATAAAAACTTTTTTGTTATATACAATGTAATAGTTAACAGAAGTTATATATGATAATATTGCAGTTGTAAACCTCGCATCGATATGTTGTATGTGTGAAAAAGCATACTAAATGTAAATAAACAGAGGGTTGAATGCTTGGATGTATTCGTATGTTGGATTCCGTTTTTCTAGTTAGATTTCCGAAAAGATATCTAACAACAAAGAGGTAAGAATTCTTATAATTTTGTTAAAATACACCTTTTTTTCTAATATGTATAAATCTCGTGTCACGTTGTTCCTTCACGATGGACTCCTAAACCACTCAACCGATTTTAATCAAATTTGGACACAGTTTGAAGTTTGATCAAACTTAAGACATAGGATAGTTTTTATCTCAATTTATAGTCGCAATATTGTTTTATTGCAAATTATTTGTTAATTAGACCTGTTAGTTCCATAAGATTCTAACATATGGCGGTCTAAGGAAATTTATCGCTTCAAATTTTCTTTGTGATCGAAGTTGCCGTGATAGTGCATTTGAATGTTACTCTTGACAACAGTGATAAACAAGACATAGAGACGAACAAATTAAAAAAAAAGAACAAGAAGAATAGAAAAAGGCACGCGTGTGTGAGTTACCTAGCAAAAGTTAAATATATAAGAAGTATAATTATTAGAAGGTTAAATATAAGTGTAACGATGAGGAAGGAATATTAATGCATAACCGGCTACGCTTTGCTGTGGTTAAGGTTTACGTTAATTCATATTATATTAAACTATTTAATACAGTGAAATGAATATAAGTATAATTATTAGAAGGTTAGATATAAGTGTAACGAGGGAAAAAAAAGAGATCAAAAAGATCACCGGAAATATTCTTGAAGCAACAAGTTTGACTGGAAAATTTAAGGGAGAAGTGATCCTGTTGCCACGTATTCCAATGATACAGTCAGAATCTACGATACCCTTCAGAAGGCTACAGTTTCGTATTCGTTTAGCTTTCGCAATGTCTATAAATAAGTCTCAAGGTCAAACAATGCCCATTTGCGGTTTAGATTTGGAAAATCCATGTTTTTCCCATGGCCAACTATATGTTGCCTGCTCACGTGTGGGAAAACCATCGAATCTATTTGTGTTAGCTAGAAACAGGTTAACCAAGAATATTGTCTACCGATTAGTGCTGAATTAAATTTAAATTAACAAAATCCCTAGCCCGACAGTTTTTCACTACCTACTTCATATATAAAATTAAACGTAAAATGTTAACAACTAAATATTTTGTAACTTACTCATTTATTACAAACTTAAATGTAAGATTAATCAAATCTAAAATTCTACATTTTATATTGATTTGTGCTTAATATCACCTCTACGAAAATTTTTATCAATAATTTTCAAATTTTTACTTTAAGTTCAAATCTCAATCTCGTGGATTTTTATACCGGCTATATTGTTTTCGTCTTTATATTCGTAAATATTCATTTTACTGTATTAAATAGTTTACTATAATAGGAATTAACTTAAAACTTTGCCACAGCAACGCGTGGCCGGGACTGCTAATATATATATATATGAGACGCTTATTTTGAAAGTGGCCTAACTCCATTTATCTTTAAATCGAGATATTTAAAGTTTTGTGTTTCAATATATTTAAAAATATACGTATAGGATACTAATGATTTATACTGCTTAAGCGTATCTAAGGATGTTAAATTTACAGTTCCTATTAAAATAATGGCAATTATTAAGTGAATTATATGCGTTTTGTTATCAAGAAGTGAGTTGGGCCACTTTCAAAATTAACAGCAAGATTCATTATAAAATTTGAAGGTGCCCAAGTCCATTCAACATAATTTAAGATGTTTCAAATTGAAAAAAACAATACTGAATTTGTTTTATATTTGTTGAAAACACTTCGGAAACATAATTTATGCGATTCAAAACATTTTTTAATTTATTACAGAACATAAAAAATTACAAACATAAATTTATTACAAAACAATTTACTATTCGTCTACATTTTATGTGTGTGTAAGGGATTTGAAGAAATCATGATATTCTGGTGGTATGTATCGTAATAGATCAATTATGTCCTTAAATTTTGCTGTTGTAATTTGTCTAATATTTTTATACAATGGTGTCAATAAAATATTTTCGAACTTTCTTGGTCTACCCCGACGTGGTAATAAATTCAGGACTTTGAAATTTTCATTCTCATTCATTGATGTCTTATAGAAAATTTTATATGGCTCATTTCTGACAAAACGCATCCAACATATTCTTAGCCAGTTTAATGATTCTCCATCAGAATTCTTTACCCTTTTAAAAATTGCGTCTTCTAATAATTTTGTTAATACAAAATCTTCCTGTCTCATTTCATTTACAATAAAATTATTACCCTTCCGACACTTTTTAATAATCTTGTAATAATCTTGGGGAACGGACAGTAAATTATTTTTTTTTAATGCCATTTCTACCACGCCAAAATCTCTATCATTTGGTAAAAACGAATGCCCTGATATTAAAAATTTATGATCTATGATTTCCATATTATTATCTAAAGTTTTGACAATTTTTAACCACATTGAAGCTACTTTAATGTTTCTATTTTGCCCGGTGCACATGTCACTGTAAGCTATAATGTGTTTTTCACTTCTAAAATTTTTAATATATTTTAAGATGCATGAAAGAACTTCTTGAGCAACTTCTGGATGCAATAGTAGTAGTGTGTTTTAGTTTTTGGATGTACGGTGTATCAATCTTTTCTATATTATTATTCGGATCTTCATCCTCTGAAGACGAATATTGTTGTACAATTCGGTTTCTTTTTCGATTTTTTTCTAAATTATTAAATACTATTTCCTCTTCACTATCTGAACTAATTAATAGTCTTGTTCTGTTTTTCGTCATAGGTGAAATGATTTCTAAAATTTAATAGTAAATTTTAAGTTATAAATAAATTAAACTTACAAGTTATTCAACGAACGCAATTGTCCAAAAACTGTAAATACTAATTAATTAATATTACCTTCATCACTACTTTCCGACATTATCAATAGTAAATATATTATCTTGATTATTTAAGTATAAATGGAGTTAGGCCACTTTCAAACTACACGGTTCGATTATCAAACTAACTCTGACAACTTATGTGTCCAGAATTTTCGTATTTGCTCGGATTATAAGCAACCTGAAATGCTTTACTGATAAATAACATAAAGTTATACACGAAATCATGATAACCGGAAAAAAACTGAAAAACGGAGTTCGGCCACTTTCAAAATAAACGGCTCATATATCGGCGTGTAAGCGCGGCGTTTTTAAATCGAATCTTGATGCTTATTGCATACCGTTCTTTTATTTATTGTAAGTAGTATCGTCTCTGCTTCACGCGCCGGTTATAAACGTTCGATTCTTCGTGATAGAATTTTTTTTTTATAAATTTGTCTGTCCTTAAGTTATACAAAATCTTTTTACATTTCTTAATTTTTAATTATATACATGAAAGAAAATTAAAATTATTACAAAAATATTTGGAACAATAAATTGTTTATCATTTTGCGCAAATAAAGGAAGATTTATTAATTGAATTACAGTTAACATTTTATTTTTTAATAGGTATATACATTTTATTTTGGAAACCGCTTTCGGTATCTTATCATAAGTCCTAGAACTTGAAAGTGTTGCAATTGGTCAACCACCCCTACTCCAGAGTCACGCCGATTCTCTTGTTGGGACACGCCTTATAAGTGGCTAGAGAAGATCACTCCGACTTAATTTTAGTGTTGAGACACGCCTTATAAGAGGCTAGGGAAGATCASTTCGTCTTAATTTTAGTTGACAAGTGAAGTGATCATAGATACGGACAGGGTATGCAGCATATGCGATGAAGCACTAGAGTGTGCTTCGATGGAAGTCGTCCCGGTTAAAGAAAGAGGTCTGAGGTCGTTAATAGCGAAAAGCAAAGAACTTGGCGATGGAAAATGGGAGATTTGGAGCAATCGTACCTCGGTTCTCATACATAGCGTGTGCCGCAATAGGTACGCAAAGGCAACAATCAAAAGTCTGGCTGCAAAAGCAACAAAACTGAAAAGTTTATCGACATCTGCTGAAACACCTAGTACGTCAGTGGAGGTTTTTAAATCTGAGCCCATGGAAATTGAATTCAATTTCCGTGACTTGTGCTTGATATGCGCACAGCCATGGGATAGACTGCATAAGAAAGGATGCGTGATACAGAACGACTATATGAAGCAAAGGTTTCTCAATATATTCAAACATGTCGATTCTATAATTGCTATGGGCGCTCGATATCACAAAAAATGTTACGTACTGTTTTCGAAAATCCCAACCGACACGTCGGATCGTCCTTCAAGATCAAAAGAAATAGAAGCTGACTTTCAACTCATTGCGGAGCACATAAAAGATTCGCAAAAAGGAAAATTCACACTAAATGAATTACTGTATCTTAAGGGCAGCAAATGTTTTTCAAAACAAGTTTTGTATCGAAAATTAATAGAATACTTCAGAGACGATATCCACATCTTGCAGCGGCAAGGCCGTGAAACATTGATCATATATAAAGTCTTCAGTACGAACAAGTTATGTGGAGACTGGTATTGTGATCCGGATTCCCTCAATATTAAACAGCAAGAAGCAATTGTAAACACTGCAGCACAGATCGTCCGAAAAAATATCGAGAATCACGATTATAACAACAATTCTTATCCGCCGCCTGAAAAATTTCTCCATTCAGTTCAACGAGACATTCCTCCACTTCTACGTGTATTTATAGATCAACTTACTATATCGAATTCATTGAAAAATGACGACAACGATAAAGAGCAAAAGTATTTCGTGCGACGAAGTACAGTAGCCCATTCTATTATAGCTCTCATACGATGTTCCGATTTCACATCTCATCCACAGCTGACACTCGAAATTTACATTCACCAAAAATGTGGATCAAAGTTGATAATCAATATCCTTAATAAATTAAGCTTCTGCGTGTCATATTATCAATTGCAACAGTACGAGGCATCTATCATCATGGATCCACCGAAATTCGTACTTGAAGACGATGTTTGTGTGCAGCATGTCTTTGATAATATCGATCACAACGTTGGAACTTTAGATAGCAACAATACGCACCAATGCTTAGGTGGTATAGCTATCTACACGCCGGAGAAGAAAATAAGCTATGAAAGTCGGACGAAAAAATTGAAAAGTGTCTCAAAAATATCAGCTGCAACGGTAGCGGCACAGAAAATAGTGCAAACCATACCATGGACAGACCATTCAAACGGATTGGAAAATATCAAGTACGATGACACAACGAAACTCTTTTCCATAGATTCGCCTGTATTGCCAGCCGCATACTCGACATATCTATGGGCCAAGCACTGCAACATACAAAATGTACCGAGTTGGAAAGGTTTTATGGAGATTTTAACGGCGGATAATAAAACTTATGATGTGTCAAAAATTGTTTGTCTGCCTTTCATCAATCAGTCTCCTTTCAATATGAGCACTATCTACACAGCTTTAAGCACTGCTCTAGTTAAAACTCGTCGAATCAATCAAAAAACGTTATTCGTAACATTCGACCAACCATTGTACTATAAAGCTCGTGCGATAGTTGCAGCATCACAGGATACGCTGGAAAACCTTGCGGTTCACTTGGATGGGTTCCACTTGCTCACGTCCTACTTATGTTCAATCGGTCACATTATGAATGGCAGCGGACTTCATGACATCTTGGCACTGACATACACTCTAGCATCAGTGAAGAATATGTTGACGGGGCATGATTATATTCGTGCGATGCGTGCTCATATCTTGACTTTTACCGCTGTGGGAGTAATGATCTGCCGTGAAATCGAAGGTGAGATACGTCAACAATACGACGAAGACATTAAAGCTTCTTTTCAAAATTGGGATACAGAACATCCGACTATCGACGACTGTCAAGCGAACCCTTCGATTACTTCGATGAGTATGGACTTGATTGCACAATTGAATATTTTAAAAAATCGAGGACCTACAGCACAACTATGGGTGCAATATTTTGAATGCGTCATAATTGCTTTGCAGTTTATAGAGGCCGAACGCTCAGGTAACTGGCAGTTACACCTTCAAAGTATTCGTAAAATGTTACCTATTTTCCATGCTGATAGATCTTGGTGCGGT